AAATTTCACTAACTCACAAAACTGATAAGATAATAGCCACTTGCGATGATACAATATTACGACCATAATTTTTTCGATTTCATTTTTGTATTATAAATAATTATTTTACCGTTACTTGATTTCTCACTTCAAACTACCATGACCCCATCGTATGTCATATTCCACCACTTATACAATACTCACCTCACCTTTTTTCTACTTTTGTGTCTGCCTCTTTTACATCTTTGAAACACTCTTCTTTTCCCCCCTCTAGACTTTTTGTCACTTTGATTTCCTCCTCCCCTCTGTGAAGCCTAAAGTCAACTAAAGGGCTAATGATAACCGTCATGACGCCTGCCACTTGATATAAGTAAAATGTTTTAGCACAGCAAAGATGAATTTGTCCAGAAGATTTACGTCTATTCTCGAATTGAACGCTTTTTAACATTATAATTGAATAAAAATATTAGTGGGTATTAGTTTGACACTTCTTAACTTGTTAAACTTAACGCTTGGCTTCTGAAATCGAAAAACATACTAAAAGGGCATATCTTGAAACTTAACTGATCTTTTTATTGCACAATAAATCATATGTAATATATCCTTTAATGCCATCTTGGAAAGCACTCCAATCGATTGTTTTGAACTCATTGGGAAGCAGGAGTCCTTGAAAAGGCTTATTATTTAAAACCCGGGAAAATACTAAATTTTCACTCCGTGATAAAGGAGCCAGTGCTTAGGGTAAAATTGCCACAATCTCGTACTGCAGCTAATTTTTCTCAGAGGAGGACACATTCTTAATGTGGAAAAAGGTTATCACATTGTCGACCACTCTATTGACCTTTTCTTAAACTGTGTACTCAACAGAACTCATCTATTTAAGCAATTACCGTGAGTTCATGGAAGCTAACCATAAGCCCTGAAAATTGCTCAAACGCACCCACTAAACATTTTGCCACATTTGGAGCGTTTGGATTGGTCAGAATGGGTGGGAAAATTTTTAGGGAACATTTCTCAGAATGGGAAAAGAGATTGCCGTAGTTATGAGAAAGGTTATTTACTTATTTTAAAACATGCTATTAAATTCAGGCTTCATACTGGATAATTTTATTTTCTTGTAAAATCTAGCATTGGTTGCCAAATGCTGTAATGTAATGCACATTAGACATAGATCATTGATTAATACATGCATCGTAATTCCTAGTGATACGAAATCGTCTAACGAGTTATTACGGGATGAAATATCTAACACATTGGGGTGTGCGATAGACTTACCTCCACGTGGTGCACCCTGGGCAACGTATATTCATACGGCAAAAAAGTCTATTAACTGGCAGTTGACTTCTGACTTTCAACTACCATGACCCCACGGTATGTCATATTCGCACCCTCACAGTACTCACCTCACCTTTTTTCTAACTTTGTGTCTGTCTCTTTTACACCTGTGAACCACTCTTCTGTTCCCCATCCCTCAACTTTCTGTTACCTTGATGTTCCTTCCCCCTGTGAAGCCCGAAGTCAGCTAAAGGGCTAATGATAGCTATCAAAACGCCTGCCATTTGAAATAAATATAAATATCTAACACACAGGGATGAATATCAAGATATTCAAACAAGTAGGCTATTGGGATAAAAAATAATAGAGCTTTCTGCCACCATCTTGAACATTCGACTTATCAAATTAATAAAATTGAATTCTGATATATATTAAAATATCACCACGGACCGATACTTGCATCACAAAGTTAGAGGATAGAAACGCAATTGAATAGGTCCATTCAGCTAAGCTGCTTAAAGGTTTATTCACAGAGGATCTCTTTAACAAATTTCAACTAACAAAGAGAGGGGATTTCTTAGTTTTTACTGTAAGTTAGGATTCAAGGCCATCAGAGTTACCACAACAATATGACTTATGACACTTGAGAGCCTTGAAAACATAGGGTGTTTGAGTGTGATCTATATGAAGAGAACACCAACTTCCAGATTAATTTCACTTTCCTATGTCTTTCATACATTTTCACATTAAATACTTAAACCATGTTCACTTAATCGATTTTTGGTGCACTCATACTGGCTTGTATCCTTCGTCACATTCCTTTTCGAGGTCTAAATAGTTCAGTAAAATAATAGCTTTTCTGCAGAAATGGAAGTCCATTGAATTTCTTGCTTTTCATAAGGAAACTTGTATATGTTCACATGTAGATGGAAAGTATGATTATATTGACAAAGGTTGAAAAAGACAATAAAGGCAGTAGGATATACATGGTAAATTTACAAAATATTTTCAATCGTAATATTGCAATGACTTCTTATTATGATGTTGAAGGGTTAATTATTATTATTATATCGAATATACACCCATCATATAGTATTTCCTGGAGATATCGACTAATTATTTACTAGCGATAAAAATTTACTTACGATCTTAAGGCAATTCAGAGCATGATGTATGACTTAAATGATAAGTGATTGAAATAAAGGTGTAAACACAACCACCACATACGTTAAGATCAGTATATTAATGCGATTTCTTAAACATATTTAGGAAAGGTGGAAAAAAATGTAAAACTATAGTAACCGTTGACTTGGTTTACTATGAGTACTTTTATTAACAAATCGTATCAAGAATACCATTGGGCAAATCGAATGCCGGAATTTCAAATGCTATCGATCAATACATTGGCTTTAATACAATCACTAAGTTTGAAAACGTGGTTTCATAGTCGACTTGCCTTTAACTAGTATATTATTTCATACAAGATGCTTCATTGTTTCACTCAAGCTTCCAGCAATTAGTACTATTGTCCATCAATTTTAGTAGTTATTTTTAAACCAAGTTCATTGAAGGAGAAATAGTCTTGGCTCACTTCTAACGCTTATTACATAAAATTTGCCTAAATACTTCCGAATATTATTGATGAGAAAACAAATTCTTATATTTCGAAGCATTTAGGACTTTTTAATCACAACATAAGCAAACTGGGATAGAAAAAACACCTTTAAAAATTAGAATTCTAAAGAAGTAATAAATGTGAATTTTATTTTTGAACTTCTGGTTAACCATGTTCCATAGAACTTTAGCATTTCCAGAACCTCAAATTACCAAATAAGTGACGTATGATCATTACAAGTAACTAGATCACTGTTATTTAAAAATGAGCAACACCATTGAGGACTTTCGCTATAAAATTGTCTCCTTTTCATGCAGATTGAAGGTGTGCAAATGCGTTTTACAATGATCGATTTTGCAATCTTATTGGCTATAAGAAATCATTAATTGTATAAGCACAAGAGTCACCAAAACTAACCACCCACTTGCTCGTAAACACTTCATAGTAAGTCACTAACATCCACTACACTTCAATCTCACGAACATTAGTTTTTAAAGCTTAATTGCCTTGCATGTAAGTTTATTAAGGGTATATATATATATATATATATTAAAATTAATCTGAAAAATTAAATAAAATTTTAAGGGTTTTTTCAGTTGATTATTAAAATTTCTATAGAAAGATTGCTAAAAACATTAATATAAAAATAATAAATAAGTCATGTATTTTTACTGATTTGTTATAGAATACTCTTGTTGATCCCCAAGCATAGAATATTAAATTAAATTAAATAATACTAATGGTGCATATTCCTGAAACGGTTAGCTGAGAAATGTGACGAAATATTGACAAGTACATTCATTTTAGCCGCTGAAATCCACAAATATGGCGAATTTAAGAAGAGCAACAATTTATTGCTTCAAGACATTTTCTTGCGCGTGCAAAACCGTCTCAATTGTGTGTGTCTTCGTTGCAATCGCCTTCATAATCGCTGGAGTGGTAATGGTAGTGAAGAATAAGAAAGATCATGTTGATCGTGATGATGACTACGACGATGATTACATGATTGGCCCAGAATGGCAAGTTTCCATTATTTCCATATTCATGCACTATGCGCATTAACCTGGCAAATAAGGAGTTTAATATTACGGAAAATAGCAAAGTGATTTGACTTGTACATACATATTGGAAAGGCGAATTTAAAGCCTAAAATTTTAAGGCAAAGTCTGGCTTAAATGTAGATGACTTTGATGCAGGGGAAAATGAATTTACAGAGGATGTTCTTAATAAATATGCATTAAAACGTTATAATTAGTTATTATTTTGGAACTAATTGTTTGGAACAGTCAATATCATTAAGGTTTTCCTTGAAAATTGAAAAGTTGCGATGATTTTCATTATACTTTCTGCTTATTTACCAATGCCTATTGTATAACTAACAATATGCTTTATAAATTCATGCATTTTATATTGATGCTCCAAGAATTGGTTTGAAATGGCATTTAAGGTTTGTGAAATAAAGAATTTCATATAAAATGTGCAACTGTTCGGAATAAGTGTTCAAACCTCTATGCATTTATTGCCTTTCAAAAAAATCGGAAATAGTTTTATTCCAGTCATTTTTTATTAATTGCACTAACATCATTTTATGATTGACGAACTTTCAATGGGATATGTAATTTGAGTGTCTTTCAAGTAATTAGTTAGATTAACCTATGTGTACATTTGCTATAAAACAGATGAACTAAAACTAAATTTCTAATTAGTCAAACAAACTTAACAGTCATATATACGTCCCTCAATACTGATAAAAGTGTTTTGAAAGTGCGGTTGAGTGACCTTGAATCCAAATATTTTTGCAATTTATTGATTGATGTAGTTTTACTAAATAAATAGCTCCCTAAGTAGATTGATAAGTTAAAAACTAGTTAGGTGATAACTAAAAAACATATAGCCTAATGATATTTGCATTTATTTATTAATGATTCAAGTTGTCAAGGCATTTCAATACACAGAAGAAAAAATTTAATGGCAAGCCTTATCATGATTCTGAAAAAGTATATTTTTATTGTAATTCTGAATGAATTCTAGAAATTTGTCTTTTTCAGGAGAGACTGTGGAATAGTCTTGATTTTTTTGGGTCTCTGTCTTCTAATCTTCTCTTTGTGTACAAGTTTCTGTGCATTTCAAATCAGAATTTGCAAGCGCTGTCTTCAGGAAAAATTGGAACCCGAAGGAGAGATTATCACAGATCAGTTCGTCGTAAGCAACATTCATTTAATCTTTTTGTTTCTATTGTGCTTCCACTTTATAAGTGTACATTTAAAGCCGTAATTGCACTGTTTACATGGAAAATAGAGTTACCGTCATAAGCTCTCAAATTCGTATCAATTGACTAATACTGTGAGACTTTGAGCTACACACTATCGTTTTTGCAGATTAATCACCAATCAGACCTTAATGAGATTAAATATCATTAATCTCCACCTCCATTAAAAATGATATTCTTCATGCTATTTGGTACTAAGTGAGTTACCTTAAAAAGAATTGAGTTAGCAATACTCCTACTGTTTATTAATCATTGAGCCACGTCAAGGTTAAGGCGCGCATCACATTGAGTCCTTGAGATTTAGACACATTTTCCACAAGTACCTTTTATTATATCCAATAGCAGGAAACCATTGCAGCCATAATTAACGCTTTTTCCTATTTTTAATAAGGGAATGCCGTTTTTGTTCGGGACTTTGAAATAATCTACAAATTAAGTGTTCATTTAAGTTAAGATTAGATTCTTAGCCTACTTAAGTCTTAAGTGGCACTCACCTAATTTGATTGAGATATTCGCTCAGCTAGTCTAGAGACCTTGTATTTAAATAATTGATATGAAATTAACGTCCCATGAGGGGGTGAGTCAGAAAGTTCTCAAAAAATGTCATAATTTTAAAAAGAACGAAGATTAATGAGTATTTGCAGATTAAAATATGCCTCTAGAGCCTTTTTACTACCATTCCACTGTTCAATCATTCTATGTAAGGTCAGAATCAAGATAGGTTCCATCTTAAAACACTTAGCAATTTTAACCGCTCAAATGGCAAATTTTGAGATCAAAGCTGGTAAAAAAATTATGACTAAATTAAAGTTGTAAGCTATTCAGATCAAAGTAGCTTTACAACAGGTTTATGCGGAAAATGTGCCATGAAGAGAGGTCCATCATGACAGGATTAAACGCTTCAAAGAGGGATGAGTGCAACTGGTTGAAAACCCACGAGAAGGGCTACACACCACAGCAAAAATTCAAGAAATCATCTCTCTTGTGCAGAATCTAGTGCAAGAATATGATAGACGAGTTACCGTGAAAGAAATTACCAGTGAAGTATGAATAGTACACAAATCAGCATATTCAATTCTCATTAAAAATCTTGGTTTGAGCAAGATCTCGATCGGCAGGGTGGGTAGCAAAAGCGTTTCGAGAACAACAACTGATCTCAAGTGCTGAACTTTCTCTACCATATTTGACAAAGATGAAAGCAAATAAGGAAAGTTTTTAAGCGCTGCATTCCCGAAGAGAAATTCTTGATTTACCAACTTTATCCAGAAAATGAAATTCAAACAAAAGAGGGGCATTCAAAGAGTACATCTGGACCTGTCAAGCTCAAAGTCGAAAGGTTCGTTAGGAAGGTCATTGACCCTATATTTTGAAATTCAAAAGGAGTGATGTTAATCAAATTTCTAGAAGTACAGAAAACAGTCACTTCAAGTTAGCATGAAGGCAGTTCAAAGACATCGTAGACTTTCTTCACCGAAAAACCGTGTGGGAAACTGTACAATGAAATTTGATTTAAATATGACAATGTCCATATATATTCTTCAAAAGCTGTCGAGCGAATTTCGATAGGAAGAATTTGTACAATCTCCTTATTGTTCAAACCTAGTTCCATCAGACATTTTTCGTTTGCCAAAACTGAAAGAACACCTTACAGTCTACCGATTTACGACTTTAGATGAAACGAAAGCATGTAATTTCATGGAACCAGAGAATGACCCAAAATTCAATTTTGATGGACAAAAATAAAGCCTAAGTGGATAAATGAACGCAATCGATTGTCTTATAAATCTATATCAAATGACAGGCGTTTTGATAGTTATCAATAGCCCTATAGTTGGCCTCGGGCTTCACAGAGGGGAAGAAACACCAAAGTGAAACAAGTCGAGAGGTTAGGGGAACAGATGAGTGTTTCAAAGATGCAAAAGAGACAGACACAAAGGTCGAGAGTAGGGTAAGGCGAGTACTGTGGAAGTGAACAACTATGACAAGCAGTCGGTTCATGATAGTTTGAAGTGAGATGTCAACTGTCGATTAATAGACTTTCTGCCGTATGGGTATACATTGACCAGGGGAACCACGTGGAGGTAAGTTTATCACACACCCCTTTGTTTTATAAATAAGTTATGAAATTTGTCTGCCAGCCTTTTACTTACCCACATCTAGTGACAGGGACGCGCTCACTGCATAGCGATATAATATACTCTCTCTTGATATGAAAAGTTGACAACTGATCAGGTTATTTCAAAATAAAAAATGAATTCCAAGCTGTTGAAATCATAGATACCTTCCAAATGGATAATGAGACTCTGTGCATGTAAAGCTGTCATTTATGATTGGATTAAATGTTATAAAGAGGAAGGAGTGAAACCCGATGACGACTCACAGAGTAGGAATATCCAGCAGAGGAAGAAATCATGAAGGCACCTCTCTCGTACAGAACTTGGCGAGTCAACATAGATAAGTTACCACTGAGGAAGGTGCCAATGAAATAGGTATCGCTTGCATTTCAACATTTTTAATTCTCACTGAAATTCTAGGCTTGAGCAAGTTCTCGGCAAAGTGGTTCACAAGAATGTTGCAAGAATAACAACTGACCCAAAGATCCTAACTTTCCTTAGTAATTTTAGACATGAGATAACTTCTTTTTAATGGATGTATTGCTGAAGATAAAACCAGGATTGACCAACTTTATCCAGAAAGCAAAATTTCCTCTTAAGAGGCGAAAACTTGGGCCTGTCAAGTTCAAAGCTAAAAGGTGTGATAAGTAGTTCATGGCTACTATTGCCATGGTTCAAAAGGGCTGGTATTAGCAGAATTTCTAGGAGGTGAGAAAACGGTCTCATCAAGTTGTTAAGAAAGTGTTTGAAGAAGTTGAAGCTAACTTCGAGAGCTGTCATGTTGATGTTGAGCGAAGTTCGATGGAGAACACTTTTAAATTCTTCTTAAAGTCCAGACCGGACTCCCTTAGACATATTTGGTTTCCAATAGTGAAAGAATAGAGCAGGTAGCGGAGAAAATTAAAAATGATTTATAACACAATATTGCTTGAGTTATTTAAAATATAGTGTAAAACGACCTTGAAATGTGCTCAATGTGCATAACTCTAATTATTCAGCCCCAGCCTCAGCCGGGTGTAAGGCTCCCACCAACCTATCCAACGTACGCTGCTGACTATCAACCACAACCTCAAGGCCCTTATCCATACTATGAACCCTACCCAGGTAAAGTTCCACCTCAACGTCAAGCACCGCCCATACCAAACCTACCACCGACAATGCCTCCAGCCTACGAAGATGTTGTTTCTGGTGCTCCTACAGCTCCACCAGCTGAGGCAATAACCCCTGCTAAGCTTTGAATCGGAGCTTTAATATTGCCTTAAAATGAAATATAACCAACTTATGTTGAAAGCGTCCAAGAGAGAGAGAGAGAGAGTTAATTTTTTAATGTTTAATGCTTTGGTGCAACTCTTTTGAAGTATTTAGATAAGATTTAGACTTGGAGATTGAAAAGAAATAAAAATTGGAATCAACAATATCAGTTCTCAAACTTTGATGTCTTTGAACCTACGTATA